GTCGACATGCTCTAAGCACTGAGCTACAGGACTGCACTGTACTCCACTTCGCAGAACGAAAAGTGCTTCTTTATATCGTCGACATGTCCAAAGACTTTGCAGTAATTGCTGTCAAGCGTATTGACTGCTTTTGTGCAAACATGGCACCATTTTTCACACAGCATTGTCCCACAAACAGCCAGGAAGTAAACAACCAATTTTATCTGAGAGATTGTCGGCTGAGACACCTGGTGAGAGAGAGAAACTCCCTTCTCTTTGCTAATAATAGCATCACCAGATCTTTAACATCCGCCTGAACAGGCAACCACAGGACCTCGCTTTAAAGTCTCATCTGAAGGCTAGCGTCTCTGAGAACGTGGCTAATTCATAGAGATAGAAAAAAGGCCATTCGGCCCATCCAGTCTGCACTGAGTCTAATCCTGCTCCCTCTCTCTCTCTCGCTTACCTCACCCCCACACACCCACAACCACACACCCTTTAATACTCCTAAAAGTCAGCCCTCCATACAATGCCCCTTTAAGGGATGTGATGGACATGGCCTCAACAATGGTTTACGGCAGAAAATTCCAACTGTTCTTTGTGTAAAGACAGAGAGCAATCGGAAGGCACTTTTTTCATTCTCTTTGTGATTACCGAGTGACACCTGACTGGCCTCCTTTAGGGTGCAGATCCCTGACTGGGACATCCTCCTGACGTGATGTGAAAGACGCTATATAAATGTAATTTGTTGTTGTTAGATCCTGTTGAGATCCAGAACCCTGTCCCAAGTCCTGGCACCTCAGTGCTCTGGATTTCACCATCAATCCACCAGAGATCAACACTCACCCTTAGAAGAATCAGGGAATCGTGAGTAGGATGGACGGCTTCCTGGAGGAGCAAACACCAGGAATGTTGTGTGTCTCACAAACAGTGATGAAGTGTTTGTGAGAACAATGGACCTCCCTCAACAATGGAAACCATTACCCTTTCCCCTGGTGGACAGATTAGCTGTCAGGGACTGGCAGTACGAGGCTACATTAAGTCAGCTCACAGTTTGGTGCAGACGCACATGTCAAAGTTTGAGCTGGTCCCAGGAACCAGGGACCTGTGCTCACAGTCCAGGTCGACACTCCAGGCTGGTACTGGGGAGACACTGCTTTGTTGAAGGTGCGATCCCTTGGATGAGATGCTAACCTGAGGTCCCACATCAACAACAACAACAAGATTGCATTTATAGAGCGCCTTTCACGTCGGGAGGCGTCCCAAGGCGCTGGGCAGTTGGGTCGGGACCCGAGCAGTAGGGAAATGGTCAGGATGAGGGGAAGGAAGGGAGGGAGCGAGGAGGGGGTAGAGAGGGGAGGTGAAGGCACGGTTGAAGAGAAAGGTCTTGAGACTGGCCTTGAAGGAGGAAAGGGAGGAAGCGGCGAAGGCACTGGGGGATGGAGTTCCAGAGCCTAGGGGCTGAGAGGCTGAAGGCCACCGATGGTAGGGCGGTTGGGGCGGGGGATGTGGAGCAGACCGGAGCAAGAGGAACGGAGGGTACGGGCAGGTAGGTAGGGGGATAGTAGGTTGGAGAGAGCGAGACCGTGAATGGCCTTGTAGGTGAGGATGAGGATCTTGAATTCGATCCTCTGGGGGATGGGGAGCCAGTGGAGGCGAGCGAGGGTGGGAGTGATGTGGTCACGAAACCTGGTGCGGGACAGTACATGAGCTGCAGAGTTCTGAATGACCTCTGAATGGCTTGTAGAGGGAGGTGCCGGGAAAGCCGGCGATGAGAGAGCTCCCGTAGTCCAGCCTTGAGGTGATAAAGGCGTGTACCTGTTCAGGCAGACATTACAGGTCCCGTTTCTCAATTGGAAAAGATGAGGATTCCAGTGTCCTGGACTCCTGGATAAATCCCACCTCATTGGGATCTTGCTGGGTGCAAAATGGTTGTCATGTTTACCCACAAAACACAGTCACGAGACTGGTCAACAGTGTATTGGAAAGAACGTTGAGAAGCTTTGACTTGAAAGCATGCTAAAATTGGAAGTTAGAACCAGAAACACAGCCCGGAGCCATTCAGCCATTTTTCCATGTTGTTGTTTGCTCCACCAAGAAGCCTACTCACGATTCCCTGATCTTTCTCCGCTCCCCTCTTATCCAATTCTGTTTTAAATGCCACATTAAATGGCTCTGACTCTAACAGCCACACTCCCCCCACCCCTCCAAAAAAAATCATTGACCCCTACCCACCCCCCACACACTCACACACTCTGAGAGAGGAAGTCCTTACAAATCTCTCCTTTTATGCTTCCCCACCTCCCCACCCGCCCCCATGAAGGCTGCTGTACAAATGCAAGTTGTTGTTGTTGTTGTTGTTAGCCTCCCTGGTTACAAGACAAGCCAATTGAGAACTTTTATTTGTTATGAACATTTGTGGCTGGTGTCAATCGTCAGTCGCTGAGCACTTCTCAACCCGGTCAACCAACCCCTTGTCTCCAGCTCCACCAGGCAGAGGACAATCTGCAGGGACAGGACCAGGTCGCCACCTGCTGGACCACAAGCCTATTACACAGGCTCAGCACAAACCTATTCACTCTCAGAACGTTCTCCTCAATCACTTTGTCAGAACAATTCATTTGTTTTCATTTTCCAATGCAATTAAAAATATCTACATCTAGAGCTGGTGAGGCAAGCTCTGAGATTCTGCAGCTAGGACCATATACACAGTCGGTGGCTAATGGCCCCTAGTTATTATATAAGAGCCAGGGTGTAAGAGTCTATCATAAACCAGGCAACACCTCCAGACAAACTGGAGTGAGATATAGAAACAGGAGTAGGCTATTCAGCCCCTCAAGCATTTTTCACCATTTTATAAGATCATGGTTGATCTATACCTCAAGTCCAGTTGTCCGCCCTTTCCCCATATCCCTTAATACCCTGACCTAACAAATATTTATCCACCGCCACCTTGAAGAGACAAGAATGAGAGCAGGCCGCAAGGCTCAGTGTTGAAAGTAGAATCTCCACGTTGGCATCTCTCGAATGGGGGTCACACCGGGGAGATGCTAAAATGTTCCAAATGCCCTGAGGGTGGGTGGAAACTGAGTTTGAGAAAGGGATCCTATCCCTCCAGCTCAGTCAGAGGAGAATCTCGACTGTCAGAGCACAACCCCACCTGCGCCCCCCACCCCGCTCAGGTGGGAGCCCAGCCAGACAACGCGCATTACCAGGCAAGGTTGGTCGCTGTCTCTCATTTCAGCATCACAATGTTAACTAATTAGCCAACCCAGAGAGGCAAGAATTTCCACAGACCCATGACAGTCATATGTGCCGTCTCTGAGCATGTTTAAACAACAACAACTTGCATTTATACAGAACCCCTCACGCAGGGGAGTGTCTCAGAGCGCTTGATAGTGGCGCAGCACAACCCCCAGTTAGTATTTTTAACTAAAGGAGCTGAGGATTAATTGTGATTCCTGCTGCGAGTGGCTGGGTCTCGCTCACTGTCTGTGGGAAACGTTGGGGGAGATCAACAAGCGACGGATATAGCAACAATGAGGAGCAGAGAGAGAACTTTGTGGAGTCCCTGTAGCTCAGTGGTTAGAGCGCTCGCCTCACAAGCGAGAGGACTGGGTTCAATTCCCAGGCAGGACCGAAGCGTTAGACAAGTTTCCTTACTCCACACACACACCTCTATTTACCAGTAAGTAGGAACCCGGTTGTTAGGCAATTGGTGGATTACTTTTCCAGAGATAAAAATCCCTTCAAAAAAAATTAAAAATAATTATTTGGTCACTCAACCCATGACTGTTTGTGGGACGCTGCCACGTTTCGCCCACAAAATATACAGTCATTACACTTTACAGTATGTTCTGTGAAGCGCTTTGAGACGTCTCGAAGACATGATAAGGCGCTGTATAAATGCAAGGATTATTTAATAATTATAACTCACTTTAAAATGTGGTATTTCTTGACCAGGTTACTTAATAACACCATTCTAGAACACTATTCCAGAGTAGTTTGCACAGAATTGAGCCCTCATCCCCATCCCACCCCCAGTAACTGGCCTGCATACCATTCCTTAGCAAGGAATATTAGGAAATTAAGGAAAACCCTAAGATATATTGCAAATGGGCATCATAGGAATATTGGAAAATTTACAATATACATAACCGGAAGCACAGAGAGGGACAGAGTAAACGATGACAAACGGGGCTATGAGGTGGCTGAGTGGGGTATGGTTGAGGAGTTGGTGTCACATTGAGGAGACAGTCTCCATGGAGACGATAAACAGGTGAGAGTGACACAGAGTGTGAGAGCTCAGGCGAGGCATGGACCACGGGGATCGCTTCCACTATCATCCGTGGGAAACACCCAGTGGGTGGAAGATAGAAAATCAGTATAACAAGAAGGTGCTGGTGGGGAACTGGTATGAGGAGAGACTGAAGGTAAGAGAGGAGCATCAGGCAAAGGCTCCATCTCTCACTGACAGCCTAACTCTTCATCGCTCCCCCTCTCTCCCCCAGCCCTCCTAGGTCAGGCCACAACACAAACGCCTTTAAAATACATCTCATTGGGAAGTAGCTACGCAGTGAGCACCCTGCACTAAGCTCTGTTCTATACCCACAGCTCCCTGCACTGCACTGCATTGCTCTGCTCTGCGCAACACTGAGCAATACATCTTACATAACATTCACAGGAATATATATTACGTAACTTACACAACCTGTATTATACAATACCGAAAAGAGAAGGGAGTTTCTCTCTTTTTCTCTCGCTTTCTCTCTTTCTCTCTCTCCTACTATCCCAGCCTACTAAAATTAAAATACTTCAATAAAATAATTAAAATAATAATAAATCTCAAATAAACTTGGTCACTCAATCAACCACTGTTCGTGGGACAATTGCTGTGCCACATTTGTCCACAAAATACACATTTCACAGTAAATCCTGTGAAGCACTTTGAGACGTCGGTCTGACAAGATAAGGCGTTATATTAAATGCAAGGATTATTATCGTTGGGTTTCTGTCTCTGGCTTGAGCCCTAGGTACAGATTGTTGCATGTTTTCCTTCAGTTTCTCAGGAGCTGTTACGTCCCTAACACTACATACAGGACTTCCTACAAACGCTACCCGAAATATGAGGCAAACTTCAACCAGCTGGCGCCCTATCGGATAAGGAATGAGGTGAGAAAGAGCAGTGTGGGGGCCGGGCACTTGTACATCTTTCACACAGGGTCATACCCGACCCAGCGATGATGGAGATGTCCAAGAGAAAGAGGAGTGTGGTGTTTGCTGTTAGTGACCGAGGTCACAGTCAAAGAGAAAGGTTTTAAAGAGGGCTTAAAGGCAGCGATGGGGTAAAGGTGAGGGTAAAGGGAATTGGGGGTGATTAAAGGCAGGGAATGGGGTGGGGGGGGAATTGAGGTCAAAGTAATGGGAAAGAGATTACCCACCACCTGTTCAACTCAATCGACACTGAAATAGCAGCGTGGGGGAGCGGGGCAAGGAGGCATGTTGCCCCCGACACTAATCAAAAGACTGAGGTGGAGAATTGCTCCCATCTGCTTTTGAACAGATCTTTAATAGAACAGATCTGAACCGGTGATCAACTTAACATCTAATCCAAAAGACGGCATCTCCAAGAATGCAACGCTCATTGAGTCCTGCACTGGAACATCAGTCTGAGTCGCGAACTGGAAGGTCAACCTGAGCTTGAGCCCACAACCTTCTGCTCCCCCGCACCCTCCCCACCCACCCCCACCCCCCAACTGAGGTGAGAGCCCCCATTAAGATGGTGCCTTTCACACGCAGCGAGACAGTGGCAGCCGGTGATCTCCGTACACTCTCAATGTCTTGACCTCGCCCCACCCCCACCACCACCCCCACCCCAAGGCCTCACTCCCCATTGTGAGGCCACCCTGACCTTGCTATGTATCCTCCATCCCCAGGGCATTCCGCACGAGATCCTCTTCAAACACAACAACATACCGTCCTCCTGGTACCTGGTCACACACTACGATGAGAACTTCAACCAGCGGCCCAACCCTTGTGTGCCTCCGTTGCGCAAACTGAAAAAGATCGACCAGGGCTGGGTCCCCGAGAGGTTGGACTTCCCCCTGGCAGGTGAGCTCTTCCTGTGCCTCGATGCGCTGGAATGCTACCCTGCGCGAGGAGCACTATATAAATGCAAGTTATTGTTGTTGTTGTTGCCTGCTCTCAGCTGTATTTCCCTGCAGCAAGGCCAGCGACTGGGAAGCTGGGTAGTTTCGGGGGTGATAATGGGGAAGGGGGTGGCCGAGGACTGCAAATTACGATGTTTCCTGACAGATTTCATCAACTCTGTTAGGAAAGGTCAGAATAGTTGGCCCCGATCGCGCGGTTTACAGACCAGGAGCTCGCTGGTTGGAATCTGGCTCCCTGCTGAGTTTCCTGGTCTCAGTCAGGGCTGTGTCACTGTGATCGGAGTTGAATGGCTGACTACACTCGGCTGAATTGTCGGAGATGCCGTTCTTTGGATGAGATATTGTTCCCATCGCTGTTCGGGTTAAAGACACTGTTGGCAAAGGGAAGGGAGTATCTCCCGGTGTCCTGGCCGGCAATGGCAACCCCCAAGTGCTAAGGGACGCCACCCTGAGCTATATAAATGCAAGTTGTTGTCGTCGTTATTTGGAGCCAGTAAAAGGGGCGGGGCTCTCTACCTGTTTGGGTGGTGCTGAGGGTGGGGCCAGAGATGCACGTTCTCACAGGCAAACTCTTGGTATTCCTGTTGTTTGTGTCTTTCTCAGTGCCTCCGACCAATTTCGGCCTACTGCAGGAGAAGAAAGTAAAGTGGCAGATTAAAGAGCCCCCCATATACAACTCGGTGTACACCCTGTCCTATGGCCCCCAACCCCACTTTGCCCTCCAGAGCTCAGCATTCGCTAGACGCCGCATCCAGCAGCCCATCAGGGACCGGATGAGGCAATTCTGTGCATCTCTGGCCAGGCCTGGCATGCCTGAGTGTGAGGAGCATCAGGGCAGAGACTGCTGTGCCCAGGGCTGCTTCCTGCCACCTTCTCACAATCTCGAGCAGCAGGAAAACAGACCGATCAGAGACTCACCTATCTGCCAGCAAAGTGTACCTGAAATTCCCTTTACTAATAAACCTATTAAGAAATATTTCCTCGTGTCTGTCCTGAAATTGTCATTGATACCCCGACCCCGTGCCTTCATCCCTGATCGCTGCCCTCACCCGCTGACCATGTGCCCTCACTCCTGACCCCAAGCCCTCACCCCCTACCATCATCCCTTGTCCCCATGCCCTTTATACTCTGACCCCATGCCCTCACCTCTGACCCCCATGCCCATACCCCCTAACCCCTTACCCTCTTGTCCCGCGGCTTTGACGCATGTCCCAGTTTTCTCTCTATTCCCCGCTAGAAGGTCACCTCCGTCCCCGCAAATAATTCCTCAAGAAAAAAAACTAATAATAATGTGGTCACTCAATCCACGGCTGTTTGTGGGACGCTGCTGTGTGCAATTGACTGCCATGTTTTGCCCACAAAATATCTAGTCACTATACTTTACAGTATATTCTGTGAAGTGCTTTGAGACGTCTAGAAGACGTGGTGAGGCGATACATCAAATGCAAGGATTATTATTATTATTATCTGGTGTCGACCTCGACTGTGAGTGTGAGTGGGGCCGGGTGGGGGGGTTGGGGGGGGGCAGGGAACGGTGTCACAGCCAGAGCCACAGGTCTCTGAACCGGAAGGGGGGCAGGGAGTGGAGGGGCAACTTGAGAGCATTGGCCAAAGGTCTTGTCAAAGCAAAGTTTATAAGAGGCTTTTGAAGGAGAGGAGAGAGGGTGTGGGATGCAGGACTTTTGGGAAAGAGAGAGAGAGGAGGGATGGAGTGACTGCGGGTTCACACAGCGCCATTCATTTGGGAGAATGTCTCGGAGTGCTTTACAGCGGGACAGTGGGTGGGGGGGCAGCTGAGGGAGGGGTGCTAATGGTGGGATGAAGGGAGTGTGGAACGAGAGGTGGGCCAGGGGTAAAAGGGCAGAGGGAGGGGGCAGGATCATCAGGTATAAACACAGAAGTAGCTGGGAACATGCAGGAGGTCAGGCAGCATCCATGGAGAGAGAAAAATGAGTTCATATTTCAGGTGGATGATATTTAGTCAGAAAAAACAGTAATAATCAGGCTGGCAGTGTAGGGAGGAGTGAGATGCGCAAGGGCAGGAGAAGGAGGGAGTCAGTGGAGCTGGTGAGGAGTGCGTAGCGGTGAATGAATTAAATAAATACCTCACATCCTTGTGGCTGGAGGCCTCTGGGATCTCCTCAATTCTCAAACTTTGGAAGGTTTCAGTCCCGGTCTCCCCCCGCACTCCGCTGTAGGAAAACAATATCACTGTTTGTCATCATGCGGCGCCATTACACATTTTTGTCTGAATTTTGTGCTGTCTTCCCCGAAGACTAATTTGCGGGGTTTGTAAAAGGATTTGTAACGTTTTTGACTTCCCCTCCTAACCTCCCCCATTTGCCAGTTTACTCATTTTAAATTGATGCCCTCTTAGTTACTGACTCACCGACCAATGGAAATAATTTCTTCCTATTAACTCTCTCAAAACCCTCATCATTTTAAAGATCTTTATCAGGTCACCCCTCAACCTTCTTTGTTCTAATGGAAAAAGTCCCAGTTCCTCCAGTATCCATCACAGGCCAAACCACTCCTCCCCGGTATCACGCTAGTAAATCTTGTCTCTAACCAACCCAAGTCTTTCCAAGTGGTTATTAATATTATCCTGTATTATAGCCTCCGAAGGTTTGCCCATTCTGAACGTTAGACCGACTGGTCTATATTTACTCAGCTGGTCCTATTCACAACAGCTTCCCTTCCTTCTCCTGGTACAACTTATAAATGGAAGAATGTTAGAAAAATTGTAGTCAGAACATTACTATTTCTTCCCTGATTTCACTCAGTATTCTCGGACACTGCCATCAGCCCCTGGTAACAATCTCCATTTTTACTTGGCTCCATGTAAAAGTGTGTGTAAGTGTATAAATGTGGATGTGAAATCTCAGAACATTAAGCGATCAAGTGTGAGAGGAGAGTGACAATGAAAAAAGGTGAGGGATGGTGGGAGGCGGTGAGGAATGATGAAAAACAGGGACAGTGAAGTATGGTTGATCAGGAGGTTATGTAGGTTCAAGTTCTGTGTCAGGACTTTGAGCTTACAGTCTAGGCCGACACTCCAGGGCAGTACTGGTGGAGCATAGTTTTGGAGGTGCCGTCCTTCGGATGAGACATTAAACTGAGGTCCTGTCTGCCTGCTCAAGTGGACGTTAAAGATCCCACAGCGCTTTTTGAAAAGAAAAGGGAGTTTCTCCTGGCCAGTAATCACCAGCGGATGTGAGCTCTCTCACAGTGTTTAGCAATCAAAGTGATTTGTTGTTACAGCAATAATAATAATCTTTATATTTGGTACAAAGTCTTTCATGTCAGGAAGACATCTCAAAACACTTTGCAGGTTTTACTGCGACTGTGGTGTTTTAGGTGATAGGTATTGTTATGATGTGAGTGTGACAGAGACGTTAAGACCTTTGCACCGAGATGAATGCACAGCTCTTAGAATGTTTTGGGGTCTCCACTAGTTAACCAGCAGTAAACAGGGAATGAAATGGTTGCATTTTCAGGGTGGTTTCCTGGTCTCTGCCACCATGATATGCTCTCCAAAGATTACCAGAGATCACCAGAGATCACTGTTTTGCACGGAACGCCATTTGCCAGCGGAGGGTCTGGACGTGGTATGAATTACAAACCCAGGGTACATCCCTCCAGTGAGAGAGTGCACATTCCATTCCAATAAATATCTGGAAATGCCATGTGTAGGTGGGATACATGGAATTCTCAGTTTGGTTTGGGAACCCTTTGTCATGCTGATGGGTTTCTGCATGTTTCAGAAACTTTCAACTTTTATTTGCATATTTTCGATCACGGGGGAAGCATGTCAAGTGTAGTGACTGTATATTTGTAGACAATCATTTTATGAACAGGGATGTCCCACAAACAGCTGTGCGCATTTGTCTCACCCACAAAATACAGTCACTAAACTTTGCAATATATTCTGTGAAGCACTTTGAGACGTCTGACATCAAATAGAGTCATGGGATCTTTAACCGGCAGGTGGGAGCTCGGTTTAATCTTATTATCTGAAGGTCTGATGATAGAGCCCCCCCGCACCCCCCCACAACCCTGCACTAGATTGAGCCTGGACTGTGAGCTGCTGTTGTCTCAGGGTCAGAATCTGGTGACATGATTGACTGAGCCAAACTTAAACTGTAGGTCTGTGAGTCTAAAAATACTCTGGATGTTCAACTTTCTTATTAAACTCTTGACACAAATCAGAGAAAACCTCTCAAAGCTCGCAGATTACAGGTCTTTGGGGGCACAGAATGGGACTTATTGAAACATGAGTCCTCTTGGACTCTGCCTCTTTAATTCAGAATTCATTCATTGTAATTTGATTGTTAGTGGACAAAATAGAACAAGACTAAATGCTGCCGGTCAGACGATTAACTTAAATACAGCATCAGTTACTGTAGAAAAACTCAGTCAAACGTTCTGTTTTGCCAACAAAATATACAGTTAATTCACTTTACAGTTTATTCTGTGGAGTGCTTTGAGACGTCTCGAAGACATGATAAGGGGCTGTATCAAATTCAAGGACTATTATTTTATTATTATGTGACAAAAATGCAGGTGATGGGTCGCTGCAGTTCTCCAAACGTCCCATAAGAGGGCGCCAGTGCCTGCCGTGTCCCCACATCTCCTCCACTCCCAATCCAGCTGGACACCATCTCATCTTCACTCGAATGCTCAAATCCGACACCCTGTGCGAGGACGTGACTTAGTGTGTTTTTGTTCACGTGTGTGACCATCGGTGGCCGGGTTTTCAGCCTCTCTGCCCCCACACTCTGGAACTCCATCCCACGGTCCCTTGGCCTCGCTTCCTCCTTTGCCTCCTTCAAGGCCGGTCTCAAGACCCTTCTCTTCAGCCGTGCCTTTGGTCTCCCTCCCACCTCTCTGCCTTCCCTCACCACTACACCACCCCTCCCCCATGCTCGGGCCCCGACACCCGACTGTTCAGCGCTTTGTGGAGTCCTGTAGCTCAGTGGTTAGAGCACTCGCTTTGCAAGTGAGAGACCTGAGTTCAATTCCAGGCAGAGGGCCAAACCTTGGGCAAGTTTCCTTACTCCACACAGAGCCTAATAATAATCCCTCCAAAAAAAAACAATAATAAATTGGTCATTTTCAATCTACGACTGTTTGTGGGACATTGCTGTGCGCAATTGGCTGCCGCGTTCGCCCACAAATATACAGTCAATTCACTTTGCAGTGTGTTCTGTGAAGCGCTTTGGGTCGTCCTCCCGATGTGAAAAGCGCTATATCAAATGCAAGGATTATTATTATTATTATTTTGTTGTTGTTGTATCTTAGTTCGTCTCAAGAATGCACCTTCGGTTTCCCTCTTACCCCTCCCCCCCCCGCCCTCCACCTTCCCTGATCCCAACCCCCAGCTCGGGTCCAAATCCCTGACTGTCCAGGGCCTTGGGATGTCCTCCCAACGTGAAAGGCACTATACAAATGTAATCTGTTGTTGTTGTGTTTGGAATGGAACACACTCTCCCTGGAGAGATGCACCCAGTTTACCCAATTCTTGCGCGAGATGGTAAGAGCCAAGGCTTGGGGACCCCAGAGTGTGTAAATTGGGGTCACAGCTGCAGGGCGTCTAACCAGCTAAAAGCGCATAGCTTGCACTGTCTGACAAGCTTTCCTGCTGCATGTTCACCTTGGACCACCCTACCCGTTAGGGCTTTGGCTTGCAGGACTAACAGTAGTTGAAGTGGGAGGATCACCTGCCCCCAGTGTCTGCCGCACCTGCCTGCTACAATTCCTGCCAACATGCCAGGCAGGCAACAACAAAAACAACAACTTGGATTTTATACAGCGCCCTCTACGATGGACGGCGTCTCAGAGCGCTTTACAGTAATGGATCCTGGGGCCGAGCCAGGGGGAGGGGCCAGGGGGAGGGGGAGGGGGAGGAAGGTGACCAAAGGCGCGGTCGAAGAGAAAGGTCTTCAGTAGAGACCTGAAAGTAGGAAGAGAGGGTCAAGGTGAAGGGAGTGAGGAACGGAGTTCCAGAGCCTCGGGGCATAGTGGCTGAAGGCATGGCTGCCGAGGGTGGAGCGGAGGACTCGGGGGACGAGGAGGAGGCCAGACCCGGAGGAACGAAGGCAACTGGTACTGTTGTGAGGAGAGAGGAGGTCAGAGAGGTCGGGGGGTGCAGAGGAGTGGAGGGATTTAAAGACAAGAGTGAGGATCTTGAAGTCGATCCTCTCTGGGACAGGCAGCCAGTGCAGTCTGGCCAGGACTGGGGGGGATCGGGGAGAGGGGTTTGGGGGTGGGGGGGAGGGCCAGGACTGGGGGGATCGGGGAGAGGGGTTTGGTGCGGGTGAGAATGCGGGCGGCAGAGTTTTGAATGATCTGGATTTTATGGATGGTAGTTGATGGGAGACCGGCGAGGAGGGCTTTAGAGTAGTCCAGCCGAGAGGTGACAAAGGCAGGGACTGGCATGGACCAGGGTTTCAGCAGCTTTTGGAGAGAGGTATTGGTGGAGACGGGCAATGCGTCGGAGGTGGAAGAAGGCGGTGCTGGTGAGGGACTGGATGTGGGGAAAGGAAAGATAATTGGGGGTCGAACCTGAGGCCAAGGTTGCATACGGGTTTGGAGAGTTTTAGGGGGAGGTCGGGTAGGTGGAGGAGGTGAGAGCCGTGAGATTTTAGACATTGACGAGAGCCAAAGAGTATGGCATCCGTTTTGTCAACATTCAGCTGAAGGAAGTTTGCGCTCATCCAGCCCCTGAGATCTGACAGGCAGCTGACAGAACATCAGGGGACTGGGGGTCCCAAAGAGAGGTGGAAAAATAGAGTTGGGTGTCATCCACATACATGTGGAAATGTACCCCATGTCTGCGGATGACATCCCCAAGAGGGAGCATGTAGATCAGAAAGAGGAGGGGGCCCAGGATGGATCTTTGGGGTACCCGCAGGTGACCGGGTGAGAGCGGGAAGAGAAGCCATTTGTGCAGATGTACTGCTGGCGGTTTGTGAGGTAGGACTCGAAGGCAGAGTGGTCCAGGCACTCTGAGACTCTATCCCGTGTGAAGGGCACTTTATAAATGCAAGCTGTTGTTTTTGTTACCTGTCATCAGCAGTGCCCTAGAACACTGTGGACCCGCCTGGCTCAGGAACGGCAACAACAACAACAACTCCCAGTCCTACACCGAGGCCGCCACAGAGGCATTCTGTGTCACCTTGGAGCCAGTTCAGACCTGAGTGGACCCCGATTACCCCCAAGGAGGAAAGTTGGCCAGGCTTTGTGGCAGATACCAGCAACTCCCCGTGAGCTTCCTGGTGGGCAACACGGCTCAGCATGAAATGTGTGAGAGCATTGCCATCTTTTTCCTGCCCACAGCTCAGACACACGTCCCATCCCACTGAACAATGGTTCCTCCAGTTAGAGTTGGAGTGTGCATGTGTATACGTTGGTGCATATTTGTGAGTGTGTTAATGTGAGTGTGTTAATGTGAGTGTGTTAATGTGAGGGTGAATGCATGTGTGTGTGTGTGTGTGTATGGGTGTGCAGGGTTAGTACCGGGATCCCAGATCTGAAGCCCACAACCCCAAATTCTGAACTGTCATTAACACCAGGTCCATCAGGCAATGATTACCAGGCAATGAATGAATAAAAGATCTGAGAGTCACGGTAGTGCTGTGAGCAGGGAGTATGGCTTCTTCAATCCTCCTTGCTGCAAACATGCACATTACTGTCCATGGCACTGAGACGTTTTTCAATCTAGTTATTATCTCAGCCTTTAATTAGTTCTGTGGCTTGAAAGCCTCATGTTCTAAGCCTTAAGACCTCTCTAACCAGTGCTGTCGCTGACCTGGGATGGACAGTGTGGACAGGGAGCTTTACTGTGTTTCTAACCCTGACGTGGGAGGGTGGACAGATAATATAGAAGGAGCTTTTCTGTCTCTAACCCATGTTGTAGTTGACCCTCCCACCCCCAGCTCGGATGCAAATCTTCTTCAGTCCAACCTTGGAAAAACGTGACAGGTCTATATAAATTCAAGTTAGTTGTTGTTCAAATTCCGGACTGTCCAGCGCCTTGGGACGTCCTCCCGACCTGAAAGGCGCCGTGTAAATGTAATTTTGTATGGTATTGTATTGAATTGTTGTAGATGAATAGGAAACTTTACTGTGACCTGGAATGGAGAGTGTTGTTGTTGTTGTTGTTGTTAGGGTCTCCACTGACCCCTTCCACCCTCCACCTCCCATTGGCTGACTGTTTGTGTAACAATGTCCATGTGTTCAGGTGACAGTCCCACAGTGTAATATTACCAGGAAGTGTTGTGAAACCATGGATCCCATGAGCCATTTGAATTCAAGGAAATAGCTGTGGGCTGAGCTTGCTGAGTACATATATTCACATTTATACATATACTATCGCTCTCCCCATTCACAACATATTATTATAACCCCCTCCCCAGATAGGGACAGTCTGACACAAACCACATCTGGACATCTGGATGTGGGATCCCTCGATCGCAGCTGATCACACAACACAGCGAGGGGTCCTCTCGGTCAAATCTGAGCTCAGATTAAAGGCAGGCATGGGCTCCCGGTCTCCTGATCTGCAGACACTGACCTCAAACCCACAAAAAGAAACCTTTCAAACCGCTGACAGACAGAACACCCCCAGAACTCAGCTCTGATGCTGAAAAGACTGTCTGGAGCTTTTAAATACAGACGTCACACACAGATGGACCCAGTCCACAGGCCCTGCACACAACCTCACTGCCCCTTCACCTTCAGCCTGGTTCTATGTCAGGAGTTGTGCAATATTGCATTCACTTACAAATACACAGTCACTACACTTCAAAGTAAATATGGCATTGAGCTCACAGTCTAGTCAGCCTTGCAGTGCAGTCTGCTGCCCGAAGACCCCTACATCGGGAGTCATGCACTATTTTTTATATGTACAGTATTTATACACCATATTTTCAAACTAAAAACTGCACAGTTACTCTTATTATCCTGGCCTCTTCCAGCGCTGACTAACTGACTGACTGATTAAAAATAATCATAATAATTTGGTCACTCAGTCCACGACTGTTTGTGGGACGCTGCAGTGCGCAATTGGCTGCCGGGTTTTGCCCACAGAACACACGGTCAATTCCCTTTACAGTGTATCCTGTGAAGCGCTTTGAGACGTCTCCATGCTGTGATAAGGCGCTGTATCAAATGCAATAATTATTATTATTAATAATATCATATTCACCCACAAATACAGAGTCACTACACCTCAAAGTAAAAATGTTGTTGAGTTCACAGTATAGTCTGGAGGGTGGGCAGCACTTGGGATGTCCTCTCGATGTGAAACGCACTATACAAATGTACAAAATGTAAATATAATTTTGTTGTTGTTGTTGTTGGATCACAAGAGGTGATATCCTTCACGTGAGTCGTTATCCCCTTTCCCTGTTCAGGTGAATTGGAAAAGAGAAGTGAATGTCTCTTCTTCTCCCCTCACCGTATCCTAGCCAACAAATCCTCAGATTAATGTGTGATTAGTGGGATCTTTATTGTAGCAAGGTGGCTGCTGAGTTTACTTACAAAACAGTCACTGCATAATAATAATAATACTTACATTTACATAGCGCCTTTCACATCAGGAGGGTGTCACAAAGTGCTTCTTCACAGGATTTACTGCAAAGTGGAGTGACATATTGTTGTGTGGCCGAACACTGCACTGGTCGCTGAACAACCTAAGGTGCTATAAAAAGGTAAGATGGGCAATGCTGCCCTTCAACTACAAATACACAGTCACTATGTATGTGCGGTGCTGTATGTAAGGCATGGACATTACTAGCATTACTGTTGTTGCTTGTTACTCAGTCAGGATACTGAGGGGATGATGATAATTCCCCGCCCCCCCCACCTCCACCTTATAATTTGCAGTATTTCTTAATATTATTAAAATAATAATCTTCCATTTGATATAGCGCCTCATCTCATCGTCAAAATGTCTCAAAGTGCTTCAGATTATTAATCTATAAAGAGGTTTTGACTGTTTGGTGATGAGTTGCGGCAGCAGTTGTGCACTGCGGTGTCCAACAAACAAACAGCTTTGATGTGAGAAACTGATTTTGTTGTTGGATTATTTAATAAGGAATGTACAAACGTTGACTCCCTGAGATGTGGCCATAACCTTCGGCACATTTGTTGTTTTAGAAATGTGATAATTGCATATTTTGAATGAATTACGAAATGGGGGTAAATTGAAGGCCGTTGTGGAAGCTGCAGTCGAAGGGTCTGACAAACTGTTTTCATTTGCTCTTTTCCCCCCAAAATAAATATTAACAGAAGCCAATAATCCCTGAAACAGCCCTCACCGTCTGCGTCTCAGTCATGAACTCATCACTAAATGTAACTCAATGGATTCCTTTCAGATGAAGGTCTCACTTTCCCGGCAGTCAGATTGCTCTGTTTGTATACAAGTTTTTTTCACATGGGTACAAAGTGAATGGGAGAGAGCGAGAGCGGGAGACAGAGAGAGAGAGAGAATAAATCTCAGCCCTGCTTGAGAAGGAGGAGAAGGAGTGTAGAACTCCCCTCAGCCCTCCTCCACTTTCCCACGTCACTTTCTTTTGCAATTTTTTCCATCTTGACCTCACTCCTTTCACAGCCTCTGAAGTACACAGGAGCCTGCTCGTTGTGAGGCTGTCGGCAAGAGCTCTGCACAGTCTGGCAAACTCTTTGCTTGTCACTGACCACCCCTCCACTCCCCACAACCGCTGCTCAGTCCTTGCCAGCTCTCGCTTGTGAAGCTCAGACGTTTTTATATTTTTAAAATTTTTATATTCAAAAAAAAGGTAGAAAAGCAGATTGTGAGCAATGGTGAAGGTGGGGATTAGACACTTGGCTTTTCTGTCATTTAGTGTATTTCTCTGCGTTTCAACCCAAACAGGTAAGAAAGACACTTTTATATACTGTTCAGAATGCACTCCAATCCGATTTGGGGGAAAAAAGGAGGTGTTTGTTTAAGGGAGAGGAGTTTTCATTGAAATTTCTCCACTTTAAACATATTTTTGCCACTAACTTTCACTCTTTTACTACTAGAAAGAGAGTCTTGTTTAGGATTAGCTCCATGTATTTGTATCACTTTAATATTAATTCTGCCCATCTTGGAATTCCATCCTGCAAACCAAGCTGAGCTTTTGGTCAATGCTATCAGATGTGCTGGGAGTTTTGACTTTGGCTCAACTCTAGGGCACGAGATGGTGGGTTTGAGCCTCAGGTTAGGACTTTGAGCTGATGCTCCAGTGTAGTGCTGGGGGACGCATTGCATTTTCAGAGGTGCCTTGCTTCATATGAAAAGTTGAACCGACCCCCCCATCTGCCTGGATGTTAATGATCCCATGACACTTTGGGAAAGGAAAGAGGAGTGTGCTGGCGGCCAATCCTCCAGGTTAATTGATCGTTCCCTTCATGGCTGTTTGATATTTTGTTGTGTGCAAAAAGCTGCTACGTTTACCTACAAATCCATTACTCGTGTAAGTGATAGAATAATGCAAGCCTTTTCTGCTTCCATTGATTAGTTATATTAAATAACAATCCTTATACTTGATACAGCGCCTTTCACGTCATTAAGACGTTTCAAAGATCGTCACAGGATAAAACTTCAAAGGTAAAGTAGAGTGACTGTGTGTATTAGTAATATTAATAATAATCCTTGCATTTGATATAGCACCTTATCATGTCTTTGAGACGTCCCAAAGCCCTTTGCAGAATATACTGTGAAGTGAATTGACTGTATATTTTGTGGGCAAAATGCGGCATCCAATTGCGCACAGCAGCGTCCCACAAACGGTCATGGATTGAGTGACCAATATTTTTTAAAGGGATTATTACCCCCAGAAAAGCGATCTGCCAATCGACTAACAACTGGGTTCTTACTTACTGCTGGGTAAACAGAGCCATGTGGAGTAAGGAAACTTGCCGAACATTTCCCGTGCTGGGAATCAAACCCAGATCCCTCGCTTGCGAGGCAAGTGCTCTAACCACTGAGCGATAGGACTCCACAGTACTGAGTTGTGCAGAGAATAAGGGAGAGCAGGGATGCGTGAGCAGGAGGCGATCTCTCCCAAAGGCTGCACTGAGCTGAGGCTATCATTAATTTCACAGGGTGAAGGAGTCAAATAATTCAGACCCTGGAAAAATCCTACCTTTCTCACATGTAACACTGCGCCTCCAAGCCCTTCACTGGCAGTTGCTATCAGGTGTAGTGACTGTATTTATAGACAAGCACAGCAGCCAATTTTGAGATACAGCAAAGTCCCAGAAATTTTTTTTTTTTTTTTTGGCCAGCGGGTATCTGACAAATGCGAATACCCCTCAACGTGCTTAACAGTATCCAAACCAAGCAGAGATTTCCAAGCATCCCACCAACACATGGAAATCCCAGAGATAGATTGTTGGAATGGATTGCGCTCTCTCTCTCTTCCTGCTTACCTAATTCCGGAGAGTATTAGGCGCAGGCTGGCAAGAGCCAAGGCTTGGGGACCCCCAGAGTGTGCGTTGGGGTAACTGCTGGAGTCTAACCAGTTAAACCCATACATAGCTTGGCCATTGATATCACTGTCTGGCCAGCTTTCCTGTTGCTTGTCCAGCTAGGACCACCCGTTAGTGCTTTGGCTGCAGGGTGAGCAGGAACTGAGTGGGATGACTGCCTGCCCCAGTGACTGGTCTGCCCTTCCAGGTCCAGGCTGGCTGTGCTGTTATCAGCAATGTCCCATAAACAGCCATGAAGTGAATGATCAATTTATCTGAGAATGTCAGCCAGGACCGCGAGAGAGCCTGGCGTCTTTAACATTCACCTGGACAAGTGGAACAGAAGCTTAGGATTTCATCCAAAGCTCTGCACCTCTGACAATGCAGCGCTCACTTCCCCCCAGTACTGTCCTGTAGCGTTAGCCTGGGGTGTGAGCCCCAAAGGTGGGCTTTAAGCCAACAAACTTCTAACCAGTGTTGACTGGTCCCCGAAAGAACTCGGGATTTTCAGGTAAAATGGGGTGGGGGAGGCATAAAACCTCCGCGCAATTAAAACGTGTCGAAACGGTGGGATTTAGCTGGTGATTGGTGATCGGAGCTGTCACTCATCAGGCATCTGGGCAATGATTGCCTGATCCAAGCTGTGCAATTGGCTGCCGCGTTTCGCCCACAAATATACAGTCAATTCACTCTAGTCTATTCTGTGAAGCGCTTTGAGATGTCTCGAAGATGTGAAAAGCGCTATATCAAATGCAATATTATTATTATCATTATTATTAAAAAGACAGCACCTCTGAGAAGGTAGAGCTTCCCAAGCATTGCACTGGAGTCAGCCTACACTGTGAGCTCAGTCTCGCTATCAGGGCTTGAACCCACAACCTACTAATCTGGAGACGGGAGTGCGAGTGACTGAGCCAGGCTGAGATCTGGATGTGTAAGAACCCCTGGTATATGAGCAGGGATCCTCAAAATGACACCCAAATCAGATATAATTGAAAGAAACACATGTGGCTAAAATAACTCAATGATTAAACCCTGCATTTAGAATTTGGACTGGAAAAGTACGATGCTTTGTACCAGATTGGATAATTATTGGATTACAGAATATTGGAATGTGTTGTGAAATAGGGCATTTTTTCATGTGTTTCTGGAAACACTACAACGCTTGATCACTTCAGTCACTTTACAGTGTATTCTGTGAAGTGCTTTGAGACATCTTGAAGACGTGATAAGACACTATATCAAATGCAGGGATTACTATTATTATTATGATGATTGCCCAAGCACTGCACTGATGTGTCAGCCTTGACTAGGAGTTCAAAATCCTGACACGGAGGCTTGAACCCATAGCCTTCCGACCCCGGGGTGAGATTGTGACTGACTGAGTGATGATGACAACTAAAAGCACATTTTCCTGAGCGCTCTATTCTGAGAGAGGTGCCGCAGTGAACGACACAAAAGCACATCAATACCAAAGTTCATTACAATAGCAAACACACGCTGCACACAAAGCAATATTTTAGCAAAAAGTCAACTTGTTCTTTTTATTTCTCTGAAAGGCGCCTTCGAAATGTCTGCTCCGTTTTTTGTCAAGCACCTCTATCAGGGATGTCTGAAAATCCCTCCCTCTTTCTCCCAAATTTCCTTTCCCTTTCTCTGCTAGGCTGTTGCGTTACCAGGGAAACTGGTCGTGGAAATAACATCCATTTGGTAAATATTTGCCCAGTGGCCTCATTGCTAAATACAGCTCCTTTATCAGATAGCAGTTCAGCCTTTCCATGCTTGCCAGGCTCTCCTGCAAAACATCTCTACACATTAAACCTTCTGTTAGTCCAGATCAGCGTAACCCTTCCCCTAGTGTAGAGGCACACAGCTCACTGGAATGGGACTGAACTAGGGAGGGTAAAGGAGTGGAATTCAACAAGAAGGAGATGGGAAATGCTGGCAAACAAAATAATTTTGCCCACAAAATTACAATTCGCTTTACAGTGTATCCTGTGAAGCACTTTGAAACGTCTCGAAGACATGATAAGGTGCTGTATCAAATGCAAGGGTTATTATTATTATAATTTCTCCCATTGGGGTAAAGATAGAGATATTTCATGACCGAATGATTTGAAACGCTCCCAAAACCTTCCCAAGATAACTCTCGCCATTGAAATTTTAATGAAAATGACTCTGATTGATGTCTGATTGATAAGTATTCCAATTGCCACGGAAATGTCCTCAGATATTTTTTGGAGCAAATGGTCTAGACAGCAGATGTTTTGAAGGTAAACGATGCAGATTGTCCACAGATAAATTATAATAGTTCTTACGTTTGATATCATGCCTTTCATGTGTCGAGGACATCTCTGTTAGTGACTGTATTGAAGTGAAAAAAATATTTTTTTTTTCTGGGAGATATTCAGCAAGGAGCAACTTCCCTTTTCACCCAGTGTTGCGGGATCCTTAACAATCTTTTATTGTCTCATCCATACAACGATGCCATCAGAAACGATGTCATCGATATGTCGTTGAGAGGAGGGTCGGGGTGAGGATGCACTGTAAAGTGTGACAGTGTGTGTTTTGTGGTGATTGTGTGATACAATCATACAGAAATAATACGCTGCCCCAGTGAATTTCAGACCAGTGCTGGCTTAACTCGTCTCAGTCAGGGCAACATTGGGCAAAGGGGGTTGGGAGCGGTAATACAATTGGCCTCAGAACCCCAGGGTCAGGGTGAGTTAAGGTTCTGACACAAAGGCGAGAGTATGACTGTCTGTGCCAGGCTGGCACCTCGCTTGGGCTGATGAAACTGACGCTAGTGGAACTTGGCTCCAAATTGAGTCGGCACCTTCAAGAGCAGGTAGGACAGGGTAAAGCCGTCACCCATTAGAGGCAGGGGAAACATTTACAAGCTGGCTCATGGGAAGTGAAATAAATCAGGCCCCCCAGGACAACCCTAGACCTGGCCCTTGGCTACTGTGTGATTGGCAGATGGTCAGAGTTTGAAGTGGCTGATGATAGTTGTGTCATTGGGAGGAGGCATGTTAACAGCTGCAAGGCCACGCTCATAAGTAAAGCATGTTCTGCTGATACAGAAGAACAGAAATGTCACCCATATTCTGCTATCATATTGCATAACTTTGAACCTGCCTAGGGCTAGGGCCGCTACTATGTGTGAACAGTGTCAAGACCTGTTTTAAGATCCTCCTCTTCGACCGTACTTTTGGTCAACCTCCTACCACTGCCCTCCCCACCCTCCACCCCTTCTGATCCCAACCACGGATCTCAGACTGTTCAGCACCTTCGGACATCCTCCTGATGTGAAAGGCGCTAGGTAAATGTAATTTGTTGTTGTTGTGTCACTGTCACTGGCTCCGGCCTGTAGTCTGTGCTCTATCACATCACACTTTGTTTCTATGGAGGCTGTGAGCTCAATCCCCACCTTGCGAAATACAAGTGTTTCTCTCGGGGTGCGGGCCAGAAAATTGGTCGCTGTTTGCAGGATGTTTCTTGGTGGAAAATAGCCGCCATATTTGCCTAAATAAACAGCTACTGGGTTTATTTAACAGTAGTTATTGTAAAGTGCTCTGAGGTGGCTCCTTAACATGGAGCCTGACCAATGGTACAATGTGAGCCAAACCCACCCTCTCCCCATAGCATCATGAACACACACATAGCAATCAGAATCACGTTAGTTTTCCCCAAATGTAGCGGCTCATTTGCTGAGATAATGATAATATTAATAATAGCCCTTGAATTTTGATATGGTGCCTTATCATGTCAGAAGGACACGTCAAAGCGCTTCACAAGATTTACTGTGAAATGAAATGACTGTGTATTTGTAGACAAGCCATAATTGCGCACAGCAAAGTCCCACAAACAGCCATGACAAGATCAACTAACTGAGCCAGACAGACAGGGATTCTAACCTGCAGCCCTCTGATGTGTGAGCCTCAGGGGTTTACTCATGCGACCATACAGGGACATACAGATTGTGGAGTCCTGTAGCCCAGTGTTTAGAGCACTCGCTTTGCAAGTGAGAGACCTGAGTTCAATTCCAGGCAGAGGGCGAAACCTTGGGCAAGTTTCCTTACTCCACACAATTAAATAATAATCCCTCCAAAACCCAAAACAATAATAAATTGGTCATTTTCAATCTACGACTGTTTGTGGGACATTGCTGTGCGCAATTGGCTGCCGCGTTCGCCCACAAATATACAGTCAATTCACTTTACAGTGTGTTCTGTGAAGCGCTTTGGGACGTCCTCCCGACGTGAAAAGTGCTATATCAAATGCAAGGATTATTATTATTAGATTGTCTCTTTCTAAGCCAACGTGTCTTTGCCCATTCGCTTCATGTCCATTTCAGATCAGTTTCACATTTGCACGATGGGAATGCTGGTGATGTGTTGCACACACAGGGGAGGTCTGAGGCCGTAACAAACGCTTGCACTTAATTACCTAATTAGGATTAAATATAGAGTAATAGATTGTGGGCAGCGCTGTCAAGGCAACAATCTAATTTGGGGACTTGTGAGATGTGAGATCAGAAATCCTGAGAATGAAACTCAAGCAATTTATGAGCTCAATCAAGCTCAGCATTAGTTGAGAGCTGATAAAGCTGATATTTTGTAAAACAATTTCTGAAGTGATTCTGCATGTAAATCACTCTGTGTGTGTTACTGTATGTGACTACATGTGACTACATGTGACTGCATGTATACGTGTGAGTGCATATGTATGTGTTACTGTATATGTGACTGTGAACATGTTACTGTGCGAATGTGCAACTGCGATGTATGTTGCTATGTGTGCGTGTGTCTGCGTGTGTACGTGAGTATGTTACTGTGAGCACATGTATATGTGTGAGTGTGTTACTGTATGAGTTACTGTGTGAGTGTGTGTATATGTGTGAGTGTGTTACTGTGTAAGTTACTGTGTGTGAGTACGTGTGTATGTGTGAGTGTGTTCCTGTGTGAGTATATGTGTTATTGTGCAAGTGGGGATGGGAGACTAGACTTCAGATGTGGAAAATAAGGGACAGAGGAAAATGTTCTTACATCCTAACTAACTGAATAAATAGAGTGGATATGGAGACAATCATACAGTGTCCAGACCACACTTTATGATCATAAGAAAGATACAGATGGAGAAGCCTCATCGTCCCATTTGATCTCATCCTTCCAAAATCCCTGCCTTACTGTCTTCCAATAATAGCATTAAGCTGTTTCTTCAATGATTCACAGATTTTACTACCATCAGCATCTGTACTTTGCTGGCATTGGTCCCGGCTGTCGAACACAGGCAGCTTCACCAGACTGTGTTTGTAAACAAAGAGGGAATCACTCTACGCTTGAGGGAGAACAGGTGCCTCTTAGCCCAGCTTTGGTGGAGTCCTGTAGCTCAGTGGTTAGAGCACTCACCTCGCAAGCGAGAAACCTGGGTTCAATTCCCAGCAGAGCGAAACGTTGGGCAAGTTTCCTCCTTCAAAAAAAATTAGTCAATCAATCCATGACCGTTTGTGGGATGCTGCTGTGGGCAATTGGCTGTCACGTTTCGCTCACAAAATATACAGTCAATCCACATTGCAGTATATCCGGTGAAGCGCTTTGAGACGTCTCGAAGACGTGATGAGGCTCTATATCAAATTCAAGGATTTGGTAGCCACAGCAGCAAAGCCCTGAGCCTGGCATGATGGACAAAGAGTTGATGTCAGACACTGGGGCTGGTGCGGTCCCACGGTTGGTGTAACTTTTGAGGGTTTATAACCTAAGCCTTGAGCCAAACTGAGGACTATTGGGAAAATCACAAGAAAAACTGGAAACAAAACATTGATTTCAAACACTCACCCAGACTAATGTCAATGTTCAATGGTCCACTTCCGGGCACTACAACTCTTCACTTTCTGTAACGTTCAATAGTCACTGAAGCTGGGCCAAAGCGAGGGATTGGATGGGAAACTATCACATTACATTTTTGATTAATTAGTTCTTTTGGGTTTTCTTTAGAAATTTCCAGGATAGAATTGTTTTTAATGAATCTGAGGCCTTATTCAATGGCTATGGTTATGAAACTAATACGTTTTGAATCAACTTTTGTGGAACCTTCCAGGCTAAAGGGAGGAATCTGATACAGAGAAAAAATTATAATAACGATAATAATCCTTGTATTTGGTATAGTGCCTTTCATGTCGGGAGGACATCCCAACACGGTAACCAATTTGCACACAGCAATGTTCTACAAGCAGCCATGAAATGAATGAACAATTTTATTTGGAGGATTGTTGGCCAGGACATCAGGAGAAACTCCTTTCTGTTTTCAAATAATGTGATGGGATCCTTAACGTCCACCTGAATAGGCAGATGAGACCTTGGTTTAACGTCTCATCTGAAGGACGGCATCTCCAACAATACAATATCCTCCCCCCAGCACTACTTTGGAGTGTCATCTTAGAAATACATTAGTTCAAATCCCAAAATGGGGCTTGAACCCATAATATTGTGACCCAGAGGCAAGTACTACCACTGAGCCAGGCTGACACACATATATCTAAAGGGTGTTGAATAAAATGTGCCCGTAATTTTAATCTTTGCACATGTTTACATCAGGTAGCATGAGGTAGACACACAATAAGAATTGGACTGCAAACGATGGAACGGTTTCCAATGCTAACCCAACCACTAACTGTCTGCTATTCTTTTCTTCCATTCAGCGTCAGAGGGGGGCTCTGTAGCAGTAACAGCTGGTCCTGGTGTAGGAGGTTCCGATGAGAAGCAGAATGCCACTGTGTCTGAAATGTCCCTCCCCACAGCCCGTGAGGAGTCAGAATCCGAGTCGGGTGAAGACAGCAGCGAATCCAGCACCACATCATCTTCAGAGTCGAACGAGACAAATTCAACCGAGGACTTCAGACCTGATTTCGACGATGCTGAAGGTTCCTTTTGCCGCGATCACCCATCTTGCCTCTGTACTGAGCTGAAGCATTTGGTGTAACACTGTTCATGAGGGAATTGACAAGTTAGAGAATGAACAACTGACTGTTCCCTGTGGTACAGGGATGGAAAATAAGTGGACGTAATCTTACAATTAGAGCTCAGTTAGTTAGAAAGTTAAATCAAAAGATGTTTCTTCACACGCAGGGTTATGAGAACACACTGCCTCAGAAGGCCGTTAGAAGCAGAATCGATTAGGATGTTTAAGAGACATAGCCATATACTTAGGAAATACTTAGGAGAAGAAGGCCAAGAAACGGGATTGAAGGATCCATCAGGATCTGATAAACCGGTGGAAGAGGCTTCATGGTTTTCTCCTGATATTTAGGCTTAAAGCAAAATACTGCAGATGCTGGAAATCTGCAATAAATACAGAAGTGGCTAAGAACACTCAGCAGGTCAGGCAACATCTATGGAGAGAGAGACACTTTACACTCGTTCTGACGAAAGGTCATCGACCTGAAATGTTAACACACTTTCCACTCTGCTTAGATGACCGATTGAATGTTTTCAACGACTTCTGTTTCTATTCTATATTTAGGCTTTCCTATTGTGGATATCAGTTGACAATACAATACAATACAATACAATACAATACAAAATTATATTTGTAAAGCGCCTTTCACACCGGGAGGCCATCCCAAGGCGCTATTTGGCTCAGACCCAAATCTGAATGAGTTACACTGGTGTCTGTGGGGAGGGGCTGAAAGGCTCTGATTGTAAACAGCAAAAAAAAAGATGGTGCTGATATAACACAACCTCCGACTATCTTTGGGCTGAAACCATGTCAGAAAATCGGTGTTCCCCCCACCCAAATCTGCCAATGTTTCAAAACATACTTGGAACATAATTTTCAGGATGTGATGATTATTACACCGAAAGTGACATATTTATTCCAATGTTTTTTTGTGTGTGTGGGCGTGTGTGTAAGGGGGAAGTGGGGTGGAAATGAAGTCTGAAAGAGGTGGGAAGGGGGCAGGAATTTTGCATTGTAATCTTGTGTGAATTATAAATTTGTTATAGTTTGGATGCTATATTGCCAAGATGAACCGTGAAGTATCAAGGATTCCTTGACCTTCGGAAAAAGACCTTATTCTTTTGGGTGCCAGTGGGTGACTATCTTTTGGGTCAGTGAGTAGCACCCTCACAAGATTTGTGGGTTCAAGCCTCATTTCTGAACTTATGTTATGTTATGGTCCTCATATACTCCATGTTTACACTGTGGGGAGTACAGCATTGTTGCATGTGCTGTCCCTCACATGACACATTAAACAAGGCTCCGTCTGCCTGTTCAAGTGCAAGTTAAAAATCCCTTTGCTCTATTGAAAAAGAGAAGAGAGTTTTGCCCTGGCCAAGATATCCCCAAAATAAAAAAAAATGGTCATTCACTTCATGGCTAAATGTGCAATATTGCTATGTGCAAATTGGCTGCTACATTCACAGTCTACAAAATACACAGTCACTACACTTTACAATATATCCTGTGAAGTGCTCTGAGATATTCTTCTAACATGAAAGGTTATCACATCTAAGGATTATATATTTGTTTTGGCTACTTATAATAATCCTTACTTTTGATATAGCGCCTTATCATGTTTTCGAGACGACTCAAAGCATTTCACAGAATATATTGTAATGTGAATTGACTGTATATTTTGTGGGTGAAACAAAATACTTGGGATCTCTTTGACTCTGTTTGCATATTTATCACCTTTTGATGTGTCTGTTGTTACAGGGAAGGATTTCCTTGAAACACTGACTTTGATCGGGATCATCATTGGTGCCATCATAGCTGTGATTATCATCCTGACGATTATTGTTTTCATCATTAAGAAAATGTCTGGAGGATACTCGTAAGTAAACAAGTGGATGTGAAAATGTCTGACCTAATCTTAAAATGGTCAATAGACCACATCTACACTGCGTAATCATTAACAAGTTGAAATTTGTTTTGACATCTATTCTATTGAGAGCTGAGGCCTTGATGGCTTCAACTTTGATGTTTTAAGTACATGATACTAATACAGTCCTTTGTAACTGTCCACAGGCCATGAGGTGGAGGGAACCCAAAGATGAATAACTGGTTCTGAAAAAATAGTGGAGTCATTTATATCATCTGCTAAAATTACAAGTCACTGTTTGCCCCCACTGTCTTGGGTCCAGGAACCATCCAGCTCTGTCCATTAGAGAAGAGTCTGTTTTATTTGGGGGTGGGGGGGAAGGGAATTAGTTGCTTATCCCTAGTAGTAGCAATTTTAACAGAGAGTGACTGAGAGATTTAGTGACGAGGGACTCAAGATTTCTCATGTTCTTGGGCTTAAGATCATTGACTAAAAATTTAAGATCACTAGGAAAATTTTAGAAAGCTTACGTCTTAAGATCATTCTTCATTTCGAAGCCATTTTTCTGCGGCAGCGAGGAGAACTGCAGAAAACAAGCTTCGCAAGTGAGGCTAAGGCTAAGGACAGGAGGAATTTCAGGCTCCCGGAATGGATTTATATAGCATTATATAAATTCAGACCTTTCGTCTCTTCATTTTTCTTGGGGTGAAAATTGTGGTATTCAATGTTGGAATTCTATGGTTCTATACACAGTATTTAAAAAGGAGTAAATGGCAGGGATACAAAAAGGGGAAAGGGACTGAAAGGATTGTTCTTCAGACATGATGGCCTTCACCTTCATCTATGCTGTAAATTTCTAATTTTGACCAGGGTTAGTTATAACATCACCAAAATATACTGCCTTTCACTATTGGCAGGTTTGGGGGTGAACCCCTACCCCCCCACCACCACCCCTGCTCACACCTCTACCTCCCCCCTCCCACACATACTCTGGCACAATAGTTGAGATGCTACCAACAATGGACATCCGTGTTTCAGTGCAGCTAAAAACAGGAGCCTGGCTTGTGATAACATTCAAATGCCAGTTCTGGGGTTGAACACAGATTTGGAGGTGGCTATCCTGCTATTGTGGGGGTAGGGACATGGGGGCGCTCGCTCCCAAACCTGTTGATAATCGAAGACAGATTTGGAGCACAATTTTCTACAAAGTGATCACTATTTGCCAGGGCCAATTCCGACATCAATTGATGCAGTTTTCACCCTGTTGTTTCACCAACTTTATAATTGGATTGTTACTCTTCTGAGGTTGAACCAATGAAATGAATTGTTGGAATAACCTAGCAGGAGTTGTGTAAAGCATGCTGCCTGGGTATCTGGCAATCACTGGCATTAATAGACAAAGAACAAAGATATTCATGCAGCATCTGAATACCAGCAGGCCTGAGCTCCACACACCTCAAAGTTATCAGTTATCATTCTAATATGAACAATGGCTGGACTGATGTTTGATTATGTTACATGAGAGAAGAGACAACTAGTTAAAATTAACTCCTGATGACTTGTCACTTCAAGGGAAAAGTGCTCCTGAATTATCAGGAGCGGCGAGTTAGGCGTATGTATAAATACATTAATAATGCGACCACAATATTGAAAGCATGATGATTTAAGTGATAGTAACAAGTTAAGCCTGGGTCGAGTTATCAGAAGTTTACTGTATTCTCTTGGACATGCACAGTCATTAGGTAGAAAAGTTGGGGAGGTGTCCCACCTGGTGTCTTATTTTCATTTATAATGTCACGTGGATAACTGCTGCCACAATGGCTCTGAACAATGTGTATTCATTCTCTTCAGTTAAGCAGCAACTAGCCAGATTTCAAGGGGTCGCTCTGCAAACATTCCCACGTATTGTAAAGAACCTGTTATTGTTGGACTGTATTGCAGAACTCTAGGAAAAGCTGCTTGAAAAAGAATGAGGGAAGCTGCCATTTTTAGTGCCTTTAAATACAATTCTTTGCATTCTTCTGCAAACACTTCTGAAATATTGGATTGACAAATGCGACAGATTTAATGTGTTAGCTGAAAAGCCTCTTGTTTTATTCTGTACTGTTGTATAGTTCACAAAGCAATCTCAAAGGGAGTCCCCAATTATCTGAAAAACTTGGTTATGAAATGTTGTATTTTTACCCTAATCCCAATTAAAATCCACAAAATAAAAGTTTTGTATTTTTTTTGATTTTTAACTATTAAAGGTACCATTGCCAAAAGATTTGCTTGTTTTTAAGTTATTATTTACCTTGTTCTAGAAATTACTTTAAAAACAAACTCTGGGATTTTTCTCTTTGAATAGTTCCTTTAATATTTGCCAAGGAAGCTTCCAGTTATTGTTACACCCAACGGGAAAATTTCCTATTAATACTTCCAACGGGAAAGGCTAATAGTCTTATTGTTACTGTCAGTGGGAAGGAGCCTCCTTTTTTGCTTCCAAGAAGAATGTGCTTTTCATTGCAAGTTCGTATGAAAAAGGAAGCTTTCTGGTGCAAGGTTTTACTCTACAATGTAGATGATGATCCTCAACCCAAGTAAGTTTTGTTGAGCGAAGGAACATGCCTACAATCAGAGAGTCACTGCACTTTCAGCAATTACCTGTGAAACACTGAGATATTTCAATGTTACAGGTGTCATATCAAATGCAAGGATTATTTGTCAGTCTGTGCTGATTCTCCAGCACTGCGTTGGTTGATGACACGTTTAAATCAAGCTCCCATCTGCCTGTTAAGGTGGATGTTAAAGATCCTATGGCCCTATTGGAAAAGAGAAGGGAATTTCTCTCATACTTTGTCCTAGCATGTAATCCCCTGGATAATATTGATCACTCACTTCATGGCTGTTTGAGGGACATGTGCAAATTGGCTACCACATTTGCCTACAAAATATCCAGTCACTTTACAGTATATCCCGTGAAGCAATTTGATCATCCTTCCGACATGACCGGCACCATATCAGATGCAACGATTATTATTATTAATATCTACATCCACAGGAAGTATCCAAAAAACATCTTCCTGTAAGATATTCCTGTCCATTGTAAATATTGCTTTGGAAAACATTCCTCTCCACAGCAACAGCAACATATTTGGACAAACAGAAAAATGGCAGAGCTGCTGTCTTCAACACTTATTAGATAGAGTGAGGGTAATTCTCTGGACCTCACACACACAGGGACCTGCCATATGGCCTCACGTTGCTCCTACAGTAAAGGCCAAGTTAAACATTCCCATTCATTAAACATTCAACCTCAATACTTTATGGCTTTTACTTTTAATTCCACACAATGTACCTGGTAGTGACATGCCCACCCTAGTGGAGGGATTGATGTCTGAGAGCAGGACACCCTGTGTTGCTTACAAAAGTCTGACCGTGGAGATAACAGCTGTATAAATGAATTACTTAGTCCTGTACAAATACTCTCTGAGATTTGCTTTAAAAATCTCTTTGTACTGCTTCATCTCTCTCTCTATCCTCCTAAAAATATTTTTGACTGTGTTCACGGAGTCTGGTCAAAGCCACAAAAATATAATATAGCACATTTCATGTCGGGAGGATATCCCAAGGCAGTGAACAGTCAGGGATTTGAACCCAAGCGGTGGTTGATTAAAGGGAGGATGGAGGGTAGGAGGGTGGCCGAAGCACGGTCAAACAGGAGGATCTTGAGACCTGCCTTGAAGGAGGCAAGGGAGGGAGCAGGGCAAAGGTGAGGTGGGATGGAGTTCCAAAGAGTGGGTCCAGAGAGGCTGAAGTCCCGACCGCCGATGGTGGGGTGGGCTAGGTGGGGGACGTGGAGCAGGTTGGAGCCTACTGAGCGGAGAGAGTGGATAAGTTGATAACTGATGAACTGAAACTTGGTTTTAAAAGATGATGAGGGTCACTGAGCAGGGATGGAGGAGAGGAGGGGTAATTTGAGGATTTGGGTGAAAAGCATAGTTAAGAGAAAGGTTTTGGGGAGACTTTTGAAGGAATGGAGAGAATAATTCAAGGCAAATGGATTTGGGGAAAGTTCCGAAGTGTGGGGTGCAGTAGCTAAAGACTTGGATACCGATAGAGACTCTAGACCTGTCAATAATTATTTGAGAAGCTAATTTTCATCTGATAAGGAATTACAACAAATATTTCTTTATAATATAAAAATCCTTGCATTTGATATAGCGCCTTATCACAGCTTCGAGACGTCTCAAAGCGCTTCACAGAATATACTGTAAAGTGAATTGACTATATTTTGTGGACGAAACACGGGGGCCAATTATGCACAGCAGCGTCCCACAACCAGGCGTGGATTGAGTGAACAAATTAATATTTTATTTTAAAAGGGATTATTACCCCCGGAAAAGCGATCCACTAATTGACTAACAACCGGGTTCCTGCTAGTTAAACAGAGGAGTGTTGAGTAAGGAAACTTGCCCAATGTGGAGTCCTGTAGCTCAGTGGTTAGAACCCTCGCCATGCAGTGAGACACCTGGGTTCAATTCCAGGCAGAGGGCGAAACCTTGGGCAAGTTTCCTTACTCCACACACCTAATAATAATCCCTCCAAAACAAAACAATAATAAATTGGTCATTTTCATTTACACGTCAAACGTGAAAATCACTATATCAAATGCAAGGATTATTATTAATGTTTTGGCCTGCCCGGGAATCAAACCTAGGTTCTCTTGCTTCCGAGGCAAGTGCTCTAACCACTGAGCTACAGGACTCCATTGGTACTAACAGACTACGACATACCTCTAAAAGATCTGCATGTCTTCAAGCTGTTTCCAAGCACAGATTGGCTTTGACTGTCTGTGTGCCTTGAGCAAACCAGCCTCATACCAGACGCTACGGGGCGGTCGTTTGGAGACATGTAACAGAAGCGAGCGGACAGATTGCAGGGATATTTGGGAGCTATGGCTGGGTTGGTCCCCTCCCCCAGAGCTTGCAACGAAATCCAATCTGCTGGGATAATACATAGCCCGTGTTGGGCTGCAGAATAGAAGCTTCAGTGTGAAAATAAACAATTTATCACACTGGCCATGTGTGCGCAAGTCCGGACCTTGTAATTTTAGGCACAGTCCCAAACCTGGAACTCAGTTCTTAGCAGAGCTGTAGAGCTGGGAAACAAAGGCACATATTGAAGGCTTTTCCTCTTGGTGGGCTTCTTAGTGGCTGGAACAGTGGGTGTTTTGATTTGGGCTGTAAACTTTGATTTTGGTAGCAGCACACAGGATGAATGCTTCGTGGCTGAATTCCATGCATTTACTAATCCAGAAAACCATAAGACGAAACGAGTAACTAATCTGCTCTTGCAATCAATGACCCTTACCCTTTTATAAAGTTTAAATATATCACACGTAGAAAGCCAAACTAGTGTTATTGGACACCGTGCCATGTGCACCTTTTCAGGGCACCCTTGATAACTTAGATTTTTTCTAATGGGCTTTGCATTTCTGATTCAAACATGTGTCGGTAAATATTGTTCATCTCATATTATTGGGGATAATTTCTTAATGCACCACAAGAAATATGAATGGGGGAATTCCTCGTGAAACAGAAACACATCGCCCTTCAGTCTGACTCAAAGGAAACTCCAAACTGGATTAAAGCGGTGTTTCAGCAAGTCAGACTCACATAACATTAAGTGAAAAACATTCTCCAGCTAATATTAAAGCGTCTAATTCAGGGTCAAAAAGGAGTGATTTTTCTCCCTGTCTTCATGATGGGATTTTTCATTACAAAAGATTAAGCATGTACGGGTGTTAATTTGAGGTTATCGGTGTATGTTAAACTGTTACTTAGATGAGTCCAGTGTCCTGATTACCCTTCCTGGTAACCCGTTCCACGTTTCTGATTATCCTATGTAAGGTTCCAGAAAATAGGAAGATTGTAGCCTCCAATCATTTCATGGAGGGAGTGAGGAAAGAGCAGTTGAGCTGAGTTAACGGAGTATCAGGCTGAGGCTAACCAGACAACAGCAACAAATTATCTTTGCATAGCGCCTTTCACGTCAGGAGGACGTCCCAAGGCACTGGACTCAGTGAGGGAAAGCAGCATCCAAAGCATGCAACATTCTGGTGTAAGTGGGTGGATTCATTGAATGGATGGATTGATGTTATATTAGTTGCTATTTGTTGATACACTGATTACCCAGAGCTTTCGGCCCTTTTGCAAACAGTGTGGCTGGAACTGCATTGGCAGCCGTGAAGCATTCATCCTGTGTGCTACTACCCAATCAAAGTTTTTTTCCCCGGAGGCATCAATACCCGTGGTCAAAATTCCAGCTAGTCTTAGCCCGTGGGACTAATTTGCCTTAAAAAAAATCCGAATTAAGCATTTCCACAATTCTGCAATGTTTCAAGTTTTAAATGACAAAGCCTAGTTAGAATTCTTGGACCTCATGTTTCTGATTCATGACTGTCCAGTACCTTGGGACATCCTCCTGGCGCTGGGTAAATGTAATTTATTGTTGTTGATTCGACTGATACTATCCACTGGGAGGGGAGGGGCCGGGGGTGGGGGGTGGTGCGGGTAAGCAGGGTCTCCTTGGAACTGAACTGGCTCTAAGGTGACATGCTTGGTCACGGAATGTCAAAATCTGTGATGGTCTCTAGTCTGGTTCCTGAGCCAGGTGGGCCCACAGTATTCCAGGGCACTGCTGATGACAGACCAGCCAGCCTGGCTCATTGGTAGGACCTGGAGGGACAGGCCAGTCACTGGGGTCAGGGCATCATCCCACTCAGCTTCTGTTAACCTTGCAAGCCAAAGCTCTACTGGTCCTAGCTAGACAAGCTTACCAGACATTCAAATACTGACCCAAAGCAGTATTTGACTTGAATCTGGTGTGCATTTCAAGCCTGGAAATGTAGCACCAAGACTCCAAAGCAAGGCACATTGCCACCTCACCCCACACGGAATGCTTCAGCTAATAGGCAATGAGAAACCACCAATAACAACGGACTAGCCGAGAATATTTACCTAATTTGACCTCTTTTGAAACCAAGCGGAACATTTCAGATTTTTGTGTTCAAAGAAATCAAACGATTGATGGAAGGTAATGAAAGTCATTTTTTTTAACCATTGCAAATCATGTCACTAATCATCATTCTGTGCGTGTCAGCATGGTTGAATTGGTAGCACTCTCACCTCAACACAACCGCTGGCTGAAGTCTGTCGTCGATCATGGCTGGAGGGACCGCTCTAGGTTTGTGTCAATGTTGGAAAGCCCGGTGTTCTCCATC